CCACTGCACTCCAGTCTGGGTGACAGAGTGAGACTCCAACTCAAAAAAAAAAAAGAGCAATTAAGAAAAAAGACTTGGGAAAGATGTGTGATGCTTATCAAGAAATGATGTACAAATTGGACTGAGATAGTATTAACTTAACAGAGCTTGGTGTCTCCAGCTAGACGAACTGAAGGAAGTCATTTGTTCAGAATTCTTTCTTGGTGAAAAGGTCTACTTAGGAGACCAAACTAAGTTGATTTAAGGTTTTTTGGAGAATATAGGAGTAGAACTAAAAAAAAAGGAGTTTTTTATGGAAGATTTATACCAAACTTGGATAATAATTTTTTAAATCTACCATAATTGAGTACTTATTACATACTAGGTGAACACTTATTTAGTAATCATCAAAGTTTTTTTTAGATGTTTTATAACTTTCTGTCTTGGAGAAGTTAAATAATTTGCCTGGAGTCACACAATCATCAAGGAGACATCGCACCTGGGTAGGATTCCTCCAGGGACTCACATCTAACCACTGTATTCAATGAGGCAATTTCAGTTCTCAGAGCCAGTGCACCTGCTACTCTGGTTGTGATAAAGACATATGGATAAATCTCACTTTCCATCTGTGTCTACCTTTTCATCAGTTACCTGAAGAACATTGTCTCCACCCAGTGGGATTAATTAGTGACTTATCCAGGGGACAAGCTGTCCTGCTCAACTGGTCATTGACAGGAAATAGCCAGCCTGTTCTTTGGTGATGGGTGTGCCCAGTCTGAACTCTGCATTCTATGTGGGGCAGCCTGCTCTAGGATGCCATTGCACAGTACCTGCCAGTACCATGAGAATGGCCACAGAGGCATCCACCTTGAGCCAGTTTAAACCAGAGCTGCAACAACTCACTCCGGAGCCCAGGAGGATGGCACTTATCAATATCAGAAGGACATCCAGGACCTCAGCCCCGATGGACAGCCACAAAACACCTGCAAAAGAAAGGGATGATGGAAATGCTGGGCATTCAGAGTACTGAAATGTTCACTTCTAAAACAAACCATAAAAAACCAGGCACCCTGGAATAAAAGTTAGAGGTGCCTCTGCTGAATCTTGGAAGGTTGGCAATGAAAGGGTACTCCTCAGGCCCGAAAGAGACATTTGCAAGGATTGCTCATAGTTGAGAGGAAAAAAAAACTCTGCAAAACCCTGGTGTGAGGACTTGAGCAAGGCTAGGGGTTCTCCATGCCCCAGTTCAAATGCTAACAGGCTGTTTTGATTCCACCAGAAGACATTATATTTGCTTGTTTAAAGAAAAAGATACACAAACTTAAACATGGGCAGAGGAGACTGAGAGTTGAAGAGCTCTGTCTGGAAATACCAAAACCTCGTTTGTTTCTGTGTGAGCCACTTGTTTACCCTCTGGATGGGATCCTGCCCGTGGCCTCAAGGAACTGTGCTGGATGGGGAGGGGAGTGGAGAAAGAGTACAGGAAGGGAAACTGATATTTGTAAAGGACTACAATGAGGCAAGCTAGGTTCTGGGGACACAGCAATGAATGAAATGGATGTAACTCATGCCTCCAGCAAACCTCTATTCCAACTGAGAGAACAGATACTAAGCAAGTAATTACAAATTCTAATGAGTGTTGGAGAGAAGGAAAATTGCGGTAGGCAGTGGTGTGCCAGAGCTTATCTCTTCCCACCTCTGCATCCACCTTGCATTGAGAGTCAAAAGTTGGCCACAGTGGGAAGATTTACACCACAGAAAATGGCAAACACTGCCAATCAGGGCTTCCCCTTCCCTCTGCAAAGTTGATTATTAAACACTTGTCAGTCACCACTGACTGTAGGGCACGTGCAAAGAGCCTGTGATTCTAGCTTTTGGACTTGACAATGAAAAAAAACCATCAATAACACCTTCATTTTCCTCCCACTCAATAAAACAATAAGAATTGCCCAAATTGTGAAGACTGCTGGTGGGCAGAGCATGAGTAAGGTATTTTACCTTGTTCTTCAGCTGGTACTACACTCTGGAAACTCCTACACTTTTCATCTAAAAGACAAAGAGAATACATCCATAAGTAGGGTTGAACTTCACAATTAGGGGACATGTGGTGTTTCTAGTCCCTTAGCTGTTCCTAGTTCATTTTGAACAAGGAATGTGAAGTGTGGCAGACAGCTTTATTGCTCACAGTGATGAAGTACCTCATTCTGTGGGAGCAGCCTATTGAACTCCGGCTTGGCCATGTGACTTTCTTTGGCCAATGAACTGGAAGCAGATATGAGAAGGGCCACTTCTGGCCCGAAACTTTAAGAGTCAATGTATTTTTTACCCAATTCTTGTTCCCTCGCTCTGTGATCACAGAAGCACATGGCAAGAAGGAGGCTTCATCAGGCTGGGTCTCTGAATGGCTGCAGTGAGGAGAAACCCCCTTCCAACCTGAAAAGTACATGTAGAATGAGCTATCAGTGAATTTGTTGGTTTAAACCACTGGGATGTTGGAGGGGGTGGTGTTTGTTATTGTGGTATAATCTAGCCCATCTGAATTGATAATGCAAGTCTAAGACCAGGGAAAGAGTCTCAAATAATTTGTTTATGGTTAAAGGGAAAGTATTAAAGTTGGTAACAATTTTAAAAAATGAATTAGAGCAGCTTTGAGAACCATGTCTATTACCAGGTCCCTTAGTATTGCAAGTCGGCCTGTCTCTTGCGTCCCATCATGCTTTTTTGACTCTGAAAGAAAAGTCACTCTGTGTGTACCAGATATTGGGTGGAACCTACTAACCTCCAACCACCACCAGACTCGTTTACGTGCTCCAGGGTTGGGGGGTGTTCTTTGTATGTGAGTGTCATCTGTCATGTTGTACAATCCTGTGAAAAGGCTTGTGCCTTAGAGATGTAGTTCTCTTGAAAGCGCTAAGTTCGTGGATGTTCACTTGATAGGCAGATGTAATCAGATTCTGATCTGGAGTGACAGATGGAGAATTGAGACCATGGTATGTCACCCTCTGGGGTCCTGTCCCAGCGAAGTGCCCCACTCTCTCCACTTACACATCAGCCCAAAATATAATAGAATCACCAACTGTCAAGTGGGAGGAGGCAGAGAAATTACCTGGTTCATCCCTTAGAGTGGGTCCAAGGACCTTGGAGGGAAATGAACTTGCACAAGACAACACAGGTGGAGGCAGTTTCAGTGTTAGAGCTTAGGTCTGCGGTGGCCGGGCCCAATGCTGTCTCACTACATCACTGACTTAATGCTATCCAGGAAAGAGCAGGAAAGGGGCCAGAGGATACAAAGATGCCTGAGATGCAGGGAGCTGCTCCCAATAGTCTGGTAGGAGTGAAAACAGAGCAAGGTGTGAAATCGATGGCACATTTTTCATGGACTCTTCAAAGGAATGGCATTCTCATCACTGAGATAGGTTAGATAGTCCCCACATTAGACTTACTTTGAAGGTTACATGAAACAATATATAGGACAGCAAGTATCATGGCTAATAAGCACTTAAAACTTACTGAAATAAAATCAATTCTACTGGGGTCTTTTTGCCTGTGGTTAGCAGGAATCATAATTTCTAGACTCTGAGTACCCCAAGGGCAAGGATCACATCAGCTACCTTTGCTGGAAGTTTCCAGGAATGGGAGGAAATTTGGGGAGTCTCTTTAGACCTCAAAAATGTCTTTCTCTTATAGGAGGGAAAATCCCAGGTAACTTCTTTCCTCTCCAATAACTCACAATAGCTCCCTATTTCCTCTTCTTAGCTGTTATGTCCTCTTTCCATCAACCTGACCTTCCAACACAGAGCTCATCTTTTTGGTTCCTTAGTGCAACCCAGCATTCTCCTTCCTCCTCATCAGAATTATATGCTGTCTTTGTCGGTTTGGGCTGCTATAACAAATTACTATAGACTGGATGGTTAGTCAACAGCAGAAATTTACTTCTTGCAGTTCTGGAGGCTAGAAGGCTGGGGTCAGGGTGCCCGCATGGTTGGGTTCTGGTGAGGGCCATCTAGGTTGCAGAGAGATTCTTGTTGCGTTCCCACATGGCAGAAAGAGAACCAGCTAGACACATAAGGGCACTGATCCCATTTATGCAGGCTCCACCCTCATGACCTAATTACCTCCCAAAGGCTCCAGCTCCAAATACCATCACATTGGGGTTAGGGTTTCAACATATGAATTTGGGGATGGGGCACAAACATTCCATCCATGACACATGGAAAGGACCACACATATGAGCAGGTACATATTTTTGGCAGTACATGTCTACTGCTCATAAACCTCAAGACCTGCTGTGCTCATACTTGTAAAACTCCAAGTACCCTTGGTCTCACTCCCCCACACTTTTGCTGAGCTTTGGGAAGAAGAGTATTTACACGACCTACAGCCAAGGGCATCAGGATCAGAGACCTGCTTTTTCCTGTGCAGTCACAGTGGCCTGCATCTTAATTAAGTCGGCTTTGGATGAATGTGGTTGGATGATTTTCCTGGTTGATTCTCTGATGTCAGGAGCAGCAGCAGTATTGCGGCCATAGTGGTAACAAAACCATCCGTGTCTCCCCAGTTCTACCAGGGAAGTCCCCAAAGCATTGGGAAACCTCAGTACTCATACCCTGCTCTCTCTCAGAACACTTTGAGGCTGGTCAGCACCTTTTTTCACATGACCACATAAGGTCCTAACCATCCTCTCCTGAGTCAGGCCTGCAGCAAAAGCAGCAGGTAGATATCATGGGCAACATATGGCATTTAAATCCACCAGGCCTGGTTTCCTGACCTCTCTGAGCCTCACTTTCTTCATCTGCAAAATGGGTATAATAAAAGTTCTCTGATGAGAAAGTTGTAAAAGTATTTTGTGAACTGCCTTATGCATTTTTGTGTGTTTAATTATCAATAAAGACAATTTCAGGTATCTCTACAGACTTGGAGGCCAGGCTCAAACAGGTTAGTAGACTGAGAAAATGAAAACCGGGATTTCCCACCTGAGAGAGACTCAGTACCTTTTTCCACAACACCATCTGCTAATGCACAGAGGAGTGAGGGTTTAGCTTGTCCTCTAAAGAAAGCTTTATTTCAACAGGAATAAAGATGAGGTCATTTCAGAACCAGGGCTGGGCAAAAAAGGCAGTGGAGGCCAGGCAAGGAGATTAGGAGAATTCACAATAGCTTAGAAGGGTGATTTTAGCTTGGGTCCAGAGAGTCAGACCACAGTGACCCCTTTGATTAATATGAATCCTCAGAAATAGTGTTCCTTTTGAATAAAGCCAGTGGGATTAAGTGAAAAAATCTTTATAAATCCCATGAAGCCAGAGAGGCGGGTGTTACATAGTTTGAGTGCTTCTGCGGCCAAGTGGCACAGCAAGCCTGCCCTAAGAAGTGGAGTCCAAGTCCTGTGTGCTTCACTCTGGTATCCCGCATCTGCCTGTTCTTCCCCTGCTCCCCACCCCCACCCACCTTGAACTTTTTGAATTCAGCAGAACAGCATAGAATCTGGAATCAATACATTTTGTTGATTATGGGCTCACCTAAGGAATAAAAACATTTATTTTATGTACTGCCTTGGCCAGGAATTTTCATGTCAAACCTTCATTTCCTAGTGTATAATAAAAGGCGTGGTCTCCTTTTAAGGGCATTCCAGACATTGGGAAGAAAGGACAGAACTCCTGGAGGTGGCTTGTGCAGAGGGTGTTCGGAAATGACACCCCGGATAAGAGCTTCCCTGCAGGGTCAGTTTTAGGGAGATGGAGACAATTCAGAAGGAAAAACCCAGGGAGGCACTGTGGGGCAGCAGATCTGGGGTGGCAAACACCCAGAAGCCCCTTTCCTAGACTTGTTTAGTGCGAGGATCACGCTCTCCAGACTGGCGTCCTCACTGCCAGCTCTACTCAGCTCACCGGCCCTCCCGACCCTTTCTCCAAAGCACTGTGTGGATTTCTTCACATTAACCTCCAGTCTGAACCCTTTTCTTTCTTATGTCCCAAATCTCCCAGGCATTTGTGACAAAGTAGACTAGATGGCAGACATCTGCATAGAGCAATCTCCAACCGTTAGCCCCAGTTACACCCTGCAGCAGGCATGATTTCTTTGACTTGTGTGACATCTTAGAGAAATTTTAAAATTCAGAAATTTTACAAAGAAATCCAAATATCTTACTTCCCTGGAAAAATCAGAGGGTCTGATCATGCTATATCGCGCTTACAAGTGCACACGACCACAAAACTGAGCTGAGCCAGAGGCTGACCCCTTTAGCTGAGGCAAGAAGGTTCAAAGTCATTGGCATTCCCAGCAACCCTGCTTCACCCATTTTTGTTACTACTTCCTATAGGCGCTGGAGTTTGTGACTCCTGATGTATAGCTTTTGTTTTGCCTTCTATCTAACATATTTGGTATCTATTTATGATTGTGTAAAAATTTAATTCTAAATTTTTTTGCTTTAGGGGCATCCTGCAACACACGGAGGTGATAATGCTTTTGGTGGGGAAAGGTGTTGTGGGGAAGATGTTCTTCTTTCTTCCTTTTTTTTTTTTTGAGTTGGAGTCTCACTCAGTTGCCCAGACTGGAGTGCAGTGGCCACTCCCGGCCACCGCAGCTTCGACTCGCTCGGCTCTGGTGATCCTTCCACCTCAGCCTTCCGAGTAGCTGGAATTATAGGCACGCACTACCACACCCGGCTAATTTTTTAAAAAATTTATTATAGAGATGAGGTCTCGCCAAGTTGCCAGGCTGGTCTCGAACCCGCGGGCTCAGGCAATCCACTCACCTCAGCCTCCCAAAGTGCTGGGATTACAGACTGAACCACCAAGCCCGGCCCTTTCTTCCTTCTTAATAAAGTGATAACAATGTTTAGAGACCCTGATGTACCTGGATGACCTTATTATGGTAAGTAAGATATAGAATGTGAGGAGAGTCCTTTTTTTCACTTTGATGGGTACAGAATTATTCACTGACAGTTATAAGAGTTGTTGCCCTCCAGTTAAGTTTTGTGCATTGTGAGGTAGCAGGAAAAGTCAGGGCTAAGAGTTAAGCAATTTGAGTTCCTTGCCCAGCTCCATCGTATCTAGTACATCTGTACAATCTTCCACGGGGCACTTATACCTCTAGAACACAGTTTTCCCATCTGTAAAATGACTCTGTTGTTATAGGCCAACTTTTCCAAAAGCGTGTTCCACAGATCAATAGTCTCACAGAATATTATTCCCTTTTATATGTTAAAAAATTTCTTCTGTGGTCAACATATTTTGAGAAACACAGGGACATGTAATATTAAACTAACTTCTTTATTGTGGGACTTCTCAGAGATTTCGATGTGCTAATCTACATTGTGAATTTCCAAGAAGAAACTATAATATTTTCCAAATTTGTTTGACTATCAAAACTCTTTTTTGTTTATGTTTATAAAGAGCATTTCAAAATGCATCTCTGTGGCATAATCCTTAAAACATCCAGGGAGGCACTTGTTAAGGTCTTTTTCTGTCCTGACATCAAGAACATAGTTGTGCATAAATCAAAAAGGAATTGTTATGGGCTGAATGTCCCCACCAAAACTCATGTTCAATTTAATCCCCAGTGTGGCAGTGTTAAGAGGTGAGAACTTTCAGAGATGATTGGTCATGAGGTCTTTGTCCTTGTGAGTGGATTAATGGGTTAATGGATTAATGAGTTATCATGGGAGTGGACCTGGTGGTTTATAAAAGAGGAAGAGAGACCTGAAAGAGCTTGTTAGCACTTATCCCTGTCACCATGTGATGCCATGTACCACCTTGGGACTCTTCAGAGAGTCCCCACCAGCAAGAAGGTTGTCACCAGTTGCGCCCCTTTGACTTTGGATTTCTCAGCTTCCTTAATTGTAAGAACTAAATTTATTTTCTTTATAATTAGTCAGTTTCAGGTATTCTGTTATAAGCAACAGAAAGAGAATGAAGAGAGAGGTCAAGAACTGCATCCTTTATTTATCCTTGGTATTACATGAATCATTGTGAACACCAACCTTCAGAATTCAACATGTGTTCCTGACAATATAAGAAAAAGAAAAACCCTTCAGTAGTGTGATCCAGGTGAAGACGTGTGTGTGTGTGTGTGTGTGTGTGTGTGTGTGTGTGTGTGTGTGTGTATGTGTTTGAGAGAGAGAGAAATAAACACGCTGTGGGTTAGCAAAAGTGCCAAGGAGACTTCTTTTAAATAAAGAGCCTCATACATTTTTTTTTAACCTCTGCTTTCAACCCCTGTTTTAGGCTGAAAAGACCATGCCAGCGCCACAAACTGGATAACAATTTTTCACTAGAAACCTTGAGAACCTTCATATCATCTAACTGCGTAGTATTTGTGTGACTATGTAGGACACACAGCATATGCAGGTAGCTGCTTCTAGTGCTCCATGAATATCCAATTCCACCCATTCCTCAATTCCAGCCCATGTAGGTTCTCCCCTCCACCACCACCCAGTTCCTTGGTTAAGGAGGAAGCAACTCCCACAAGTAATTGTCTAACTCTTGTCCTCAATTTCAGGTTCTACTCTGACCCTACCTTCCTTTCTTATTACAAATAGTAAGCTTCCAATTTTCTCCAGTGAGGCTTTCCTTTCTAGGAAATGTCTTTCTCAATTCCTTGCACTGGAGTGACCATGTTGCAGGGAGGAGAAGCTGTCTCTGACATGAAAGAGCCCCTCGAGCTAAGTTCTTCTACAACCAGACCCCTTTCCTGGAAAGGATTCTTCTTCTCCCTTGCTTTGTGTTCTGATGCAAATATCTGAGCTATGCTGCCTCAGATCTTGACTCACTCAGTTCCCTCTGCCTTGAAAGTCCTTATCCCCAGCCTTCATCTATTAAAATCGCAAACTTATAGGCCTGGCACAGTGGCTGCCTCCTTTATAAGGCCTTCCCTATGCTCGAGCTGTAAATAACCTCTCCTTCCTTTCTATTTCCATATCACAGAGGGGTCTTTATTATAACCATTGTCATATTTTTCCTTATTTATTTATTTATTTATTTACTCTTAAGTCTCTCTTATTGGATCCTTAGCCTTCAACACTAGGGCTCACTCTCCTTTGAGTACTTCCACTGTCCTAACCCTATGCCTGATGTGGAAATGGTTATTAGTGAATTCACTCCACACTCTGCTGAATCCCCTCTTTCCAGAGGGTTTTGCTGTACTCTGGGGTATACTTCTCTGACTTAAGTGTGCATCCTAATCATGAAGGGGGTACATTAGAAATACAGATAGAGCCAGGCTCGGTGGCTCAGCCTGTAATCCTGTGCCTTTAGGAGGCTGAGGTGAGTGGATTGCCTGAACCCGTGGGTTCAAGACCCGCTGGGCAGTGAGACCTTATCTCTACAATAAATCAAAAAATCAGCCAGACGTGGTAGTGTATGCTGTAATTCCAGCTACTTGGAAGGCTGAGGCGGAAGGATCACCGGAGCCCAGCAGGTCGAGGCTGTGGTGGCCAGAAGAGCAGCCACTGCACTCCAGTCTGGGCAACAGAGTGAGACTCCAACTCAAAAAAAAAAAAAAAAAAGAATACAGATAGAATAGATTTCAGAGGAATAATATACTAATGCTATGAGAATGGGAAATAAAAAGGCAATGAAAAACTCCGGGAAAAGCAAAAAGCTCTACACAGTAATAAATGTAGTCATAGCAACAATTTTGACACTATAATGAACAACATAGATACAATCAAGTAAATTTTGGGTCTGTTGATTTAAATAATACAGCAGTACAAATTTATTTTTTAAATGGTGGAAGGCATGTGGAATGTCGTGGTGTGAGAAAGTTATATCCTATTTATTATTACTCAAAGTCGATAATGTCTAAGATGAAGACATAGCAATGTCAGCATATTTTTAAAAGATATGGAAGCCAAATACCAGAAGAAACAAGATTAAAGTGGGACTAAGTTATGGAGAGGGAAGGGCAGGAGACTGTTGAATTTTCTTATTAACCTTTCAAAATGAGTGTCTCTTGTCTATGTATAAATATTACTTTGGTTAAAACTACTTTAAAAATGCAGATTTTTGGACCCCATTCTAGACCTATTAAATTAGAACTTCCAGGACAGGGAACTTGGATTTTTTAACACTCTTTGGGCAATACATTTGATAACTGATGTGACACATATATAGCTATAAATAGAAATACTGTAGGCAGTTCTCAGATGGGGACTCGAAAAGGAAATGCAATTTCCTAAGCAGTTTGCCTATGCATATTGTGGTGACAGTTTACAAACCAGAAATCTGAGACTTTCTTGGGAACCCTCCAGAATGCTGGGACATGAGCCTCCTGCATCTGTCCATGAAGGTAGAGAATAGATTCATAGGAAGATAGCATTCTCTAAGAAAAGAGGAATCAGGGAGATATTTAAGTAGTCTTAGCTTCAGGCACCATTGCAGTGTCTGCATTATACTTAAAGCAAAGGTCACAGGCATTGACCTGGATGCATGGGAGGGTAGGACTGAGCACAGTCCTTTGGAGACCACCACTGGTAGGGGTCGAGGAAAGGGCATGCAGCATACCATAGGGTTTGTTCTTGTTGCCTTTTACTTATGCATTTAAAAAAAAATTTTTTTTTAATGCTATGAGGAAGGGAAAATAGAAGGCAACCAGAAACTTCAGGAAAAGTAAAAAGTTGTACAAGAAATTTAATGTCATAAACCTGAGGTCAGGAGAAAAATGAAGACTGGTGTGGGAGTCCTCCTTTTTCCACCCATAGAGGTTTTTCTTCCTAAGCAGAAAGAGAAGAGTATCCTGGCCCTGAGCATGGGCTTACATCCAGGCTGTCTAATATCAAAGAGTCAAATTCTTTTCTCCTTGGGTCTTTCTGAGGTAAAAAAATACTCTGATTTGAAAGATTTGTTCCAAGACTGTTACAAATGCAGGAGAAATAACAGGGATGCATCTTAGAGTTGGGTGGGGCCACCTTTGATTCCCAAAGGATTTTGAATGCCAGGCATTGAGTGATAATAACAGATGGTAAAGCCAATGTTTAATAAACATTTGAAATATGTCAGACACTGTTGCAGGTGTTTGATATTAACCTAGTCATTTAGTCTTTATTTAACCCTTGGTGATAAGTACTGCTATCATTTCCATTTTATAGATGAGAAAACTGAGGCTCGGAGAGGTGAAAGGACTTGCTCAAGAATACATTAGACAGTCAGTGGACAGCTGGATTCAAACCCAGGCTGCCCGACTCCAGAGCCCTTGCACCACCCTGCACCTGTCATCCCCAGAACCTGCCGGCCACACTCACCTGTGCCGTTGAGGCTCTCCTCACAGGACTGCCAGAGCCCCACATGGAACATGCGCTGGATGAACTTGTCGTCCCCCAGCTCCCAAATGTACTGGACAGCCTGGTTGCCATCATCCATGCCGCCATCACTACCATTACCTTTGTTGAAGTGAATGCAGTGCAGCCCTCCCGGCTGGTCCTGGCACAGCGGCTTCACCACCCGCCGGGTCCCCTCACACCAGTGGCTGCTGACTATGGCAGTGAGGGAGAAGGAAAGGGCGAGGCAAGTGGGGAGAAGGATCAGTGCCTGCTGCCGCCTGGCCCTGTCCATGGCTGAGTGAGGTGTGTGAGGCAGGATGAGCCGTGGGGTCCCCTCCTTCTGCCTCGTCACAGTATCTGCTGCTCAGCCCTGCCATCTGTCCTCTTGACACAGTCTCTTCTCACATCTCCCTAGGGAATCTGAGTGTGCTGCCACGAGCCACAGTCCAACGCACAGGGACATCTTCCTGTCAAGGCCCTGCAGGTCTCTCCAGGATGTGGATATGCAAGAGGGTGTTGGGTTTTTAAAAAATGCATATATAGCAAAACATACATCACATAAAATTTACACTTTCCACAGTTTTTAAGTATTCGGTTCAGTGGTCCTAAGTATATTCACACGGTTGTACAGCCATCAACACTCTCCTTCGACAGAGCTCTTTTCATCTTATAAAACTAAAATTCCGTACCCATCACACAACTCCCCATTCCCTTTCTTTCCACCCCTTGCAGCTGCCATTCTGTTTTCTATCTCTATGAATTTGACTACTCTAGATGCCTGATATACAGGGCGGTGGGGGGTGTGGGGGACACAAAAAACCCTGGAATTGTCTTTTGGAGGGTGAACTCCTTGTAGTGTGGATTTTCTCCACTAAGTAAGTGTTCTAGGAACCCATTGGCATCCGTGTACCAGCTAGGGTAGTTGTGAGAGACTGAGTTTGGCCTCAGTAAATTTTTTTGGGAGATTCTTTCACCGTGTTTGCCCATTTCATGATTGGTAATTTACCAGCACACCTGCCCACATCAAGCAGAGTGTTCAGAAGTTTTGGACCCAAAACTGTCATGACCCTGGTGCCCCACCCTCTCTATTTACCGGATTTTGCCTTGAGCAACTTTCTTTTTTTTTGAGTTGGAGTCTCACTCTGTCACCCAGACTGAGCTGCCACCACAGCCTCGACCTGCTGGGCTCCGGCGATCCTTCCGCCTCAACCTTCCAAGTAGCTGGAACTACAGGCGTGCGCTACCACGCCCGGCTAATTTTTGATTTATTGTAGAGATGAGGTCTCGCCAAGTTGCCCAGGTGGGTCTCAAACCCGCAGGCTCAGGCAATCCACTCACCTCAGCCTCCCAAAGGCGCGGGATTACAGGTTGAGCCACCGAGCCCGACTTGAGCAACTTTCTTTTGTTTCCTCAGATGAAAAAAAGTCCTCAAAGAGAAATGCTTTGCCAACGTGGAAGAGATGAAACCCAGAATGACAGAAGCACTAAAAGGCATCAAATTAAACAAGTTTAAAAACGGTTTTGAGCAGTGGAAAAAGGTGTACTGAATCAAAGAGAAAGTACCTTGAAGGTGACTGGAGTTTAAACATGAAAGAATACACAATTTTCTTATGGCATGAGCTCTTGGGATTCTGATCAGGAATTGGTTGCCTATTGTGATTTCTATAAGGGTGTCTCCTGCATTTTCTAAGATTCTTAAAGTTTGGGATTTCACATTTAGGTCTTGGATCCGTTTGGAGTTGATTTTTTTGTATGGTGATAGGTAGGGGTCCTGCTTCATTAGTCTGTGCGTGGTCAGCCAGTTTTCCCAGCACCATTTACTGAACAGGTTCTCCTCTCCCCAGTGATTGTTGTTGGAGTCTTTGTCAAAGATGAGTTGCTTGAGAAATTGAGGTTTTGCTACATTAATAAGGGTACCTGATCTCAAACCAGGCAAAGTGGGGACCAAAGGTAGATCCAAGTTTTACCTGTATTATGACCACTTGTATACCTAATCCTGAATTGTACCCTACATCTTTAAAACAAAATAATTTTTTAAAAAATACATAAATAAATAAATTTCAAGTTTTTTTGGATCCTCCCTTTGTAAGTGGAATCATGTAGTATTTATTCTTTTGTTACTGCCTTATTTTATGCATCGTAATGTCTTGAAGTTTCATCCAAGTTGTAGCATGAGTCAGAATTTCCTTCCTTTTTGAGGCAGAATAATATTCTCTGTGTTTATTGTATGACATTTTGTTTATTCATTCGTCTGTCAGTGGACACCTGGGTTGCTTCCACCTTTCGTTTTTTTTTTTTTTGAGTTGGAGTCTCACTCTGTCGCCCAGACTGGAGTGCAGTGGCTGCTCCTGGCCACCGCAGCCTCGACCTGCTGGGCTCCGGCGATCCTTCTGCCTCAGCCTTCCAAGTAGCCGGAATTACAGGCATGCGCTGCCACGCCCGGCTGATTTTTTAATTTATTGTAGAGATGAGGTCTCGCTGCCCAGGCGGGTCTCAAACTCGCGGGCTCAGGCAATCCACTCACCTCAGTCTCCCAAAGGCGCGGGATTACAGGCTGAGCCACCGAGCCCCGCTATCCACCTTTCAACTATTATGAAGGGCGCTGGTTTTGACTGAAGACAAGGGGCTGTTTGTTTGGGTGTCAGTGAGACTGCCCCACCCTCACCTTTTGCATCGAGCGAGGTCCTCAGTGTTGGATTCCAGAAACGGGGAAGCCTGAGGACTTCACAGACCTGTTTCTTGCCCAGCCCTATGGAGAGAAGGACTACAGAGGGCAGCTGCTAGTTCCAGGGAAGAGATGTGAGGTCCAGGCAGGATGCCCCTGGGCCTAGATGCCGTGCAGAATGGGGAGGGTGGCATGCACCCCACTTGCGTGCAGAATTCAGCACCATCAGCACTTGCAGAGTCCTGAACCAGGGGTCTCAGAAACTGGCAGACAGAGCCCTCAGCACCATCACTCAGGCCCTCACCAAAGGGGGCGCCGGCAGGAGCGGTGACACTGAAGATCCCTAAGGAGTTCTCAGGGCAGAGGACATTGATGAAGGAGCGAGAGCAGGAGACAATTCCACCAGGCATTTGAAACACACAGGTTCTTGAGTGCATAGTAGACACCTCCTGAAGACCTCTGATATAATGGAGAATTGACCTGCCTGACTAGAGCGTGATCCTGGGTTAATGTCACTCCGTCTGTGCTTTCCTGCTGGCAAAGTCTGAGGAACATTGTTTTGTACTCTTGTCCTGGTTGGCTGCCGTGTCTCTAGGGAAGAGGCCTTACCATGTTTTATCACTAGAGGGCACCCACCCAACGGGTGGGGAAGTCCTGTGTGGCCCCCGCCCCAAGCCTCCTCCCTTCAGAAAAAGGATATTTTTGAGAAAAAGTTCAAAGAAATAAGGCAGAATATTCCTACAAAGCAAGCATTTTCCATATCAGTGTGCACCTTGGAATTAATGGGAAATCACAGAACAGCATCACAGCCATATTCCAGGGTCTGGAGTCCATCACTTGAACACTTTCTTTCCCTGAGCCACTCCTGCTCTCTGCTGTCCCAAAGAGATGACCAATCAACTCCAGAGGTCACAGCTTCCTAATGGCCCACTCAGTGGGCGGGCGGCGGGGGGAGCATCTTTGTTTCAAATGAGCATTTCATTGCTAAGTTTTAAAATCTTGCCATGTGGAATGTTTTAGATTTCCAAAGATTTCTTTTCTTTTCTTTGTAGAGATGAGGTGTCACTACATTGTCCAGGCTGGGCTGGAACTCCTGGTCTCATGTGGTCCTTCTGCCTCAGCCTCTCAAAGTGCTGGGATTACAGGTGTGAGCCATCGCACCAGGTCTTGATTTCCAAAGATTTCTATTAAGTAAAGCTTACCTGCTTTTCCCAACTGTTAGAATTCACTCAGTCAGATACGCTAATCAATATGAGCTCCTATGATTCAATTTGAATGGGAAAAAAAGTGAAAACACATTCTTCTTTCCTCTTGCTGATCTTATATTCCAACCAATCAGGATATCTTCCACCTGGGCCTCAAGTTTGGGAGGCTGAGAGAAGTTGGAAGGGGATGCTGGGAGCTGGCCAGGGAGACATGGAGTGACAAGGGCTAAGCAGAGCCTCTTAGATGAGCCTATTAGGGCACAGGAACTCACCCAGAGAGGGAAGGGGCAGGGAAGGAAGGGCGTGTTCCCAGGTAGCTGTGTTCAAGTGACTCTAGTCAGGAGACCAGGCTACCTGGCTTTTCCATTTAATTGCTGTGTGGCCTCAGGCAAGCAACTTAACCTCTCTGAAACCCAATGTTTTTCAGCTGTCAAATGGAGTGTTCATTGTACCCTCATGGAGTTATTTTGAGGATGAGTAAAAAAAAGTGATGGATGAAAAGATCTTGTAAATGTGAATTGTGTGCTGGTTAGTGAGAATCCTGAGCTCTAGAAAAGGATCTGCCAGGTGGGCTGAGCAACAGGTGCTCAGAACGAGTGAGCATTCAAGAGGAGTGAATGTTGGACGCTGTTGTGTAGACATAACCCAAGCCCCTGATCGAGTTTTTGCTTCAGGCCCTGGCTGAGAGCTGCTCTTTCACAGGCCGGCCAACTGTCTCTCTTGTAGTCTCAGCATCAACGGGGCCCAGAAGAGACCCTGTCTTTTGGTTGGTCTCAGCCGGGCCTGGACAAGCTTAATGCTTTAGAGAGAAACAGCTGTCCTCAAAACAATGCCCAACGCCAATCTGGCTTGAGACTCAGAGCCTTCTTGCCAGCTGCTCCTCACCAGCTCGAACCCGAGTCTGCCTCAGCCTGGCCTGGTGCATTGAGTAGAACCTTTGGGGTGGAACCTGCTGACTGCCTTGCTCTTTCTCCTCAGCCTGCTGAGGGAGTCCCAGGGAGCACAGCTGACTCGGGGAAGGTCTGGGACAACTCTCCCTGCTTTTGGGGGGGCCAGAACGGGGGATGAGCCACGGCTGATGAGGAGCTCTGGAGATTCGGTGGATCGCTCATGACTGCTTCAGACGGCCTCCACGCGGCGTGGAGAGGATTTGTGCAAACATTTCCTCTCTGGACAAAGAGGAATGCAAGAAGAGGCCGCCTGTGGTACATCTTGGACTGCTAGAGAGATGTGCCCCCACTTGTGAAAGTGCACGAGGAAGATGAAGTCGGCACCCAGCAGGGCACGGCCTGGACGAAGAAGAGCAGGACTCCTGCCTGGGGTCCCCCCGTTGCCCATGGGCATCCCTGCTCCCTGGGGGACCAGCCCTCTCCCCTTCCACAGGAAGTGCTCTCTCTGGGCCCCTGGAAGGCCCTTCCTCACCCTGGTGCTGCTGGTTTCCATCAAGCAAGTAAGAGTGACTTTTTATTATTATTATTATTATTGTTATTATTATTATTATCGCATGTTTTCTGATTATAGAAGCAATTTATAGGCTTTCTGAGGCAATTTGGAAATTAGGAAACAGTATTAAGAAAACAATGATTGACCATAATCCTAGCATTCAGAGGTAATCACTGTTAATATTTTGGCATATTTTTCTCAAATCCTTTTTTCTATGTATTTTTTTTAACACAGCTGAAATGACAAAGCACAAGACATTTTGCATCATGATTGCCCCTTTGCATTATATTAGAAGCATTTTCCCATGTTAGTGTGAATTCTGCAAATAGCATTTAGAATTGCGGCATATAGTCTCCTGTATGCCTTTAGCATTCTCTCAGGTTTGAGTATTTAAGTTGAATGAATAGTTTCCTTTCAGTTTCCTTTTCTTTTTTTCCCCATCTTATTATAAAATGTGAACTGTTTAAAAAAAAGGTCTATACAATTCAAAGAAGTTACATGTAAATACAAATCACTGTAATTCCACCTGCTCACCCTCGTTCATATTTAGGGACTTAGACATCCAAACATTTTTCTGTCATTGTTTACATATAGTTTTCTTAAAACAAACATAGGAGCATACTATAAGTCTTATTTTGTGATCTGTTTTTTTCATAAGCAAATACACTAATAACACAGCTAGCTTTTTTTTTTTTTTTTTTGAGTTTCAGCCTCACTCCGTCACCCAGGCGGGAGTGCAGTGGCACACTCACAGCCAGCCCAGCGTCGACCTCAGAGCTAACGTTTTAACTGAACATTTACTATGTCCCGAATTGAGTGCCAGATGCCCCCTCCCTTCATATTATCTCATTTTGCGTTCTCAGCAACCCTGTGAGGGAGGGTCTCTTATTAATATTATTTTACAGATGAGGAAACTGAGTTTCAGGGAGGTTGAACAACATTTTTCCATGTCAGTAAGATCCATGGCATGATATTTAAGGGCTTTAGGGATGGAGTCTAATGTCTTTAACTATCGTCTATAGTTGAGCATGCTAGTAGCTCACCTTATTCTATCTGAGAGACGAGACCTTTCCCCTTCTCTTTTGAAGGCTCCATTTTTACACTGGGCTATGATGGGAAAGAACTCCAGCTCCACTCGTCTGAATAAAGAAAGCCGCTGAGAGATTGGCTCTCTTCCTTGTTGTTTCATGGGCAGGGTTAGTCTCTGTTCATAGCCTCTGAATTCTACGTCCCTCCTGCCCCCACAGAGGGAGGGCCGTGGGACTGGGTCTTTCATGTGTTCACCTTATCAAGCTTTCATTGGTGCTAGTTTGGGACTAGAGAGGCAGAAAACCCCTACCAAATTCTCCACATCCCAGTTCTCCCAGAGGCTACCTTCGAGCTCTCACGGATTGTGAGTGTAAGCCCAATACATCGTTTCATGGAATTCTTGCCATGACAGTCGCCTCTCCCAAGAGACCAGAACATTCCTGGGGGGCAGGTGACCTTTGCCTGCCTTTGGTCCAGCTCTTCGATCTGTTAGTGGTGTGGCCATGGTTGGGAGACTTGATACAGAAACTCTCGTCTGTGTTTCAATTCTCTGAATATCTTGTATTAAAATCAAATACATCCAGCTAATTGTGTAGTTCTGTTAACAAACATGTGTGGCTTGCCAGCCACAGGGTAGGTCCTGACACCGCACTGAACATGTTATCATGAAAGGCTTCTTCACACATCATCTTGCTTAATCCTCACAACAAGCTTTTGAGAAGAGTGCTATCACTGAGCCCATTTTACAGATGGGGAAATTCACCCTCAGAGAAGTTAAATGATTGTCTTTGATCATGTAGCTCATGAGCAGAGGAGCCGTGGTGTCTACCCAGGGTGTTTGAAGTCCTGTGTTCTTTCTTCCCTGGCGTGCTTGGGAGCTGTTGACATATGAATATTTATATGTTACAACAGCAGAATCTGCAGAACCTCAGACTGGCTTACCATACTGACAAAGCCACACCTTGGTTCCTTCACTCTGGAATTTCTGTAATCAATAATGTGCTTGCTGGCAGTATCCCCTCCCGCCCTTGCCACCCAGTCTGTATTTTTCAAGGCCTTTCTCATTGTCTGTCCTCCCACGTGTGTCTGTCATTCTGACAACCCTCTCTGTGGTTCTCTGTCTTAATCCCATATGCTTTTTCAGATGTTTATATTACAAGGCTTTGTGAAGACTTCTGTGATGAATTTTGCTCCCTGGTGTGTCTTCTGGCAGGAAGTCTTCATAAAATCCACTTAATGAGAAATTCTCAGGGATAGTTTAGTTTCTAAATTCAAGCTGGGAAATAGTGTTATCTCCATCCCACCCTCTCTCTCACTCATTTAAGTTATTTAGCAGTTGTTTTGGCATCAAAAAACATAAACTAAGACTCTTCAAGATGTGGATTTGTGGACCTTTCGTACATGGCTGGTGGGAGTGTAAAATGGTGCATATTTTAAATTTTTAAAAATTTTGTGTGGTGAGGAAAGACAGTTTGGCAGTACATTATCAAAAACCTTTAAAACTGTGTATGTTCTATGACCCAGAAATTCCAATTCAAATAATTTCTCCTAAGAAAATGAAGTTGGCTCTTAAATATTTAACCATGAGGATTTTTATCACAGCATCATTTGTATTAGCAAACATCTGAACACAACTTAGATGTTCAGTGCTAGAGGATTCAAAGACTAAATTCTATCACATTTTTCATAGAATATTATATCACTATTAAAAGGGTGTTTAATATTTATTTCTTAAAATGGAAGTATATTCACAATGTATCTTCTAGTGAAAAATAAAAGCCTACAAAGCAATATGATTTCCTTTCTGGTTAAAACAAAACAGAAAAGAAAAGAAAGAGAGAAAAACAATGCAGTGTGTAGAGAAGAGTCTGGAAGTACATGGTAATTTCTTTTTTTTTTTTTTTGAGTTGGAGTCTCACTCTGTCACCCAGACTGGAGTGCAGTGGCCGCTCCCGGCCACCGCAGCCTTGACCTGCTGGACTCCAGCGATCCTTCCGCCCAGCCTTCAGAGTAGCCAGAATTACAGGCATGCGCTACCATGCCCGGTTGATTTTTTTATTTTTATTGTAGAGATGAGGTCTCGCCAAGTTGCCCAGGCGGGTCTCGAACCCGCAAGCTCAGGCAATCCACTCACCTCAGCCTCCCAAAGCGCAGGATTACAGGCTGAGCCACAAGCCGGGCTCATGGTAATTTCTGAGTAATGAGATTACCATTCCACCTCCCCTTTTTGCTTATCTGTGATTCCATTTTATCTATGGTGAAGTGTATTTCTTGTCTAATAAATAAAAAGTTTTATTTAATGAGAGCTAATAGAAGGGTTTTCCTTTTCTTTTCCTTAACTTCTTCTTGGCCTACTTGGTCATTGATGCTGGTTGTCTATGCAAGAGATAGAGGAATCAAGATCAAGTTGGACTTTTTCAGACAGAAAAAAAAATCCACTCAAATATCTTCTTTCCTCATGAATTTGTCTGGGAATCTAACGTGACAGAACTTGGATGGGCCTGTTGCGTTTTTGATGTCTTTAAGGCAAGGACCTGGGAAGTCAGTCTGTTTGTCCAGCTTCCCTAGACTGACCAAATTCAGTACTTTTTAGTTTCAGTTTGTTTCTCTGCTTTTCTTTTTTTTTAATGTCAATACCTTTGGAGGATACAAATAGTTTTTGGTCTGGGCTTTAAGAGTACACACCATCCCCACCTGTGCACATTGTACCCAATGGGTCGTTTTTTTTTTCCTCTACCCCTTCTGAGTCTCCAGTGTCCATTATACTATTCTGTATATCTTTGCATATCCTTAGCTTAGCTCCCACTCATAAGTGAGAACATGCTATGTTTTGTTCCTGACTTAGTTCACTTACGGTAATTAGATCTCCCAACACACAAAAAAGTCCAGGACCTGATGGACTCACAACTGAATTCAAACAGACCTTCAAAGAAGAACTGGTACCAATTTTACTGAAGCTATTACACAAGACCAAAGAGAAGGGAATCCTCCCTAACTCATTCTACGAGGCCAGTATTACTCTGTTTCTCTACTTTTGACCATGGCAATTAAGCATGGCAAAGAACAGGGGGACAGGAGAATGTTATTCTCTCTTCCTTAATCAGGTCCCAATGAAGTCCGTGAGGACATAAATAGCACATTGTCCCAGAAAGGGTCTTACTTTGATGATTTTGAGGATTCTGGAAGTCTATTACTTGATTTGCAATTTATCTGAAGAATTTGTGAAAGTGTAGAGTCATTCATGGTTCTGTTAGGATGTTTATTTTTAAAAACATGTTAATAAATTTACATGTTGCCTCTCGGGCCATAATAATAATAGAGATTTTCATTATAATGATAATAGAGATTATCATCATTATTATTACTTAATGGCTAATCCAACAGTCCCAAAACCGTGTGCTAAGGTACCCCAGGGAACCACTGTAAACTCACAGGTGGTGCTGTGAGGTATTTTAATTTTTTAAGGGAAGCACAGTGATATATGGTATTTGCCAGACACTGCAAAATACTAGCTCAAGGTAGTCATAGTTACAATGTTAGATCACACCTCACTCCTTTTGATGAGGTGATATCTTTGCAAAGCTGGATTTCCCATAGGTCCTGTGATAAACAGCAAGTACAGCACAAAAATCAACCTGGAACAGGAAATGAAGGTAGTGGTGTCCAATCTGATTCTAAAACTCGGGAATCAATGCCTAAGAGGCACTAAGTTATTAAGACATAAATATACATGCAGTTGTCTGGGCCTACCTACCTAATAAATGGGACTTTAGATCTATCTTTTGGCCTAGGAGTGCCATGGAAAAATGACTGAGCCAGTAAGTTTGGGAACCTGTGATCTAATAATGACCACATTAGCGCTCCTTCAAAAAGTTGGCTGTGTGATTTTCTGGAAAAGATGAAAAGAAATCACCCATAGACCCCATCATAAATGCCATGGTGGGGGGGGGGCATGGTAGGCAGAAGAGGAAGAGTGTAGATTGGACTACTTACTTAGGAGGTGAAACTGGCCACTCATTGATGGCTGCTCACAGATGGATTTGGGAGGGGGGAGCGCTGATTGTGTGTGTGTTTAACTAAATTTATTTAGATGGAACATTTCCCCAGTTTATAATAGGATCCTCCACTCCCTGTCCTACCACTCTTTTGGGTTATTTACCTAGCCCAAGAAAGCAATTGAACTTGTTGCCCCTTGTGGGAGGAGACAAAACCTCAAAGCCAACTGATTAACTGGGTGATCTCAGTCCAGATCCTTTATTTAACCCCTGTGTTCATTTCCCACCTTCCACCCCACAATTATGCCTCTGTTTCTTTAGCTGAAAATTAAAGGGGCAGTAATTCCCACCCTTTGCTTGGGGCTTGTACTCGGAGATGAAAGATACTTTTCAACCCTCAGTGGTAGTGAGGGAGATGGAAAGTGACCCACTGATGACAGTACAGTGTGATGGGCTGAAGGAATCGGTCATTCGGGGGTGGGGGAGCGCATTGAGGAGGAAGGTTACTAGCTCAAGACCCCAGGGAGAGAGGTGGTCAAGTGGGCCGGGAGTCACTAGGCTTGAGGGATGAATAGGAGTTAGCCAAGTGAAAATGAGGGCAGAAGGGAGTGCCAATGGGCAGAGCAAAGATGATAAGTCATGAAGAAATATGACTTGAGACAGGGATGTCTGAGATACTGAATCCTGAGCCAACAGGCCACGAGTGGAAAACATCAGGTAGGAGAGGACTTTGCTCAGATCTATTTTGTGGTCCTATCACTCTGGAGCAGTGTAGAGGGTGAACAGTGTCACCAGGCCAGAGATGGAGGAAACAGAAGACAGGGTTGGACAGAGGAGAAGTTAGGGAGATGGAGTTGATGGAATCTGGTGTCTGGCTAAACGAGGAGGAGGGGGGATTGAGGATGACTCCTGGTTTCCAACTTGCAACTGAGAGAACTGAGCCCCACGGAAGGAGATCATAGGGAAGCTGAGGATGACAGGCTAGAATGTCACTGACTTCGTATGCCAACCAGTTATCTTTGGCACATTCTAAATCCTTTTCAGGCCAGTATCTGTGTCTTACTCATCTTTGTACTCCTTTAGTTCCTCCTAAACACAAGGCCTGGCACAGTAGGTGCTGATAAAGATGAGTCCATTGAACAGTAGAAGAGAAAGATCCTTGTACAACTTAAAGAAGTGGTACAGAGGTCCAGTTAGAAGTTACTAGGTAACCCAATTATCTGGGAAGCCCAGAAAGTAGTATGTAGTATATTTCCAAGGTTCTATGGAATAGTCAATGGCAGAAAGGAAAAAAATCCCAAGCCCTCAGTACAGTGGCAGAGTATCTGTCTACTCAGTGTCTTTGACCTTGGTCATGCAGGTTCATGCAAAGTTCAGACCCCTGCAGTTCTCCTGGCCCTTCTATGTCACATTATTGAGTCTCTCCTAGTGTTAAGCTTCTCTCTTTGGGATTCGCATAGTCTTAGGAGCTATCTGTGTGGGAGGGTATGGAAAATTTAGGATAAAAATATTACTTTCTCTTGAAATGCCAACTTTACTTAAAGGTTTTTAAAAAAACATTTCATATTTGTTTCAAAACCATTAGGCTTAGATTATGAAGTGAATGTAAAATTCTTATGTATTCTTATGCCAGAGAAATTCTATTTCCTTACTGTGGGCTGTTGTGGGCACTTCAGTGGGAAGGTTTGAGAATCACAGTGTGAGATGACAACAATGCCACATTTGTGCTTGCCACTAACTGGAGCTGACCATGTTTTTGTCTGTTCAGGTTACAGGATCTCTCCTTGAAGAGACAACTCGGAAGTGGGCTCAGTACAAAGAGGAGTGTCTGAGAGGCTTACTCAAGGTACCTTCTGGTAAGCACATGTGTTAGTTACCTGTGGCTATGTAACAAATTGCCCCAAAGTTTAGTGGCTTAAGACAATAATAAGTTTATTCTCTCTCACGATTTTTATGGGTGAGGAATTCAGACAGGGAGCATTGGGGATGGCTTGTTTCTGCTTTGGAGTTTAGCTGGAAGCCTCCAAGGCTGGGGGCTGGAATCACCTGAAGGCTTGTTCACTCCCATGTCTACTGGTTAATAGTGGCCCTCAGCTGAGAGTCAAGCCAGACTGGTGGCCAGAACACTCCCCACAGCCTCTCCACATGACCTGGTCTTCCACCCAGTATGATGATTGGATTCCTAAGAGTCCAGAGGTCATATTGCCTGTAATGATTTGGCCTTGATAGTTGCATATCACTTCTGTCATGTTCAATTGGGTCAGTTACAAAGCTCTACCCAGGCTCAAGGGACAAGTACATAGACTCCCAGCACTCACTGTAAAGGAGCATGTGAGATGGGATATATATGGGTGAAGCCATCTTTGATACAAGCCATCCGCCACAGGACATTTATCACTCAAATCACATTACATGAGTATCTGCTGTAGATTAACCTCGGGATCTTTTGGGGAGGTGGGGGTCTCCCATTTCCCAGGGAATTAACTAAATCTGAGTAGTAACATTTCTCTTAGCTGAGTCTACACTAAATTCAGAGCATTCTAGCAAGTATATAATAGTTTGGTCTGTCCATGGCCTCACCTGTCTGCATGCTGATTCTTTGGTTGCATCCACATGTACCATGCCCACCTTAAAAAAGAAAAAAAGAAAGTGCATTGGCCTCTGAGCACTGGGGACGATGGGTGAACACAGCTCTGTCCTCATCTTCCTGGTTTCTTTCAGATAATTTCATTCAGTGGCCCGGAGATTGACAGGGTACCGTGAATTCTTTCTTCCTTTCTTGCCTCAAAGGCACTCTAGGCTTCAAGCCTTTCCAACTCCTTCTGAAGATCCCTTGGCCCAGTCAGGTGATAGACAAGGCTTGATTGATATCAGCTACAAGAACCACCACTCACCTCGGGGAATCCCCTGAGCAATTCTGAGGTCAAGGTGAGGTAGGTCTTCTTCATCTGGAGCCATGCCATACACATCTCAGGTGAGCAACTCCTCATCCAGACCAGGTATCAACACCTGGCAGCCAGGTTGACAATGTGCCTCAAGTCAGCTCATAGCCTAGCAGACGCTTGTTTGTAGGGTTACTATGCCAGGAATCTGGCCACTCTTGCCTAATAAGGAGCAGATGGTAAGGGGTGAAGAGATAATACTTAGTTTCCAGGAGTCAGAAACTTGCAATTTGGAAGTTTAGGGCCTAGCCTGAAATGCCTCCATTTGGTTCTAGGAGGCCTACAAGACTAAGTTTTAAGTTTATAACTTCCCATTGCCAAACAATGGGGTGTAACTTATCCCCCAAGCTTGAGATGGCCCAAATTATCTCATAATGATCATTGAATTGGTGTTCAAATGAAGAGATATGACTATGTGGTACTTGTGTCTGATATATGCAATCAAGGACCTTGATTCTGTAGATCCGCTTATATCCACTGGTTGTTTTGCACATTTCACAGAGTAAATGTGTTCTTGGATCTCATCGGTGAAGGTTTGACAGTTAAGTATGGAACACAAGGCACTAGCTGAGCCTCCACGCGTTCCCCTGATCCTGTAATTCTGTGAGCGGTCAGTTCATGTCAAATGAATAAAAATCAATATGACATGTACTGTGACATAATTGAGAGCTGGTCAAGTTGGATAGACAATGGCACGATGCTTGAGGCTGTATTCAGTGTTCCTGTGCCCCTCAAATTGTTCTCTACCCCTGGCTTATCTAGAGAATGGGATGCCCATGCTGGTTCCCACAAAGACTACATCAGCTTCTAATGCCAGGAAGGTGGGCTCTGGGCCCTAAGTGCCTTTGTCTCCAAGAGTGGACCCTGTGCTCAAACAATGGTGTTCATTTGGATCCCTCTTCTCTCCGTAGGTGAATTTTGTAACGGGACATTTGATAGGTATGTGTGCTGGCCTCATTCTTCTCCTGGAAATGTCTCTGTGCCCTGCCCTTCATACTTACCTTGGTGGAGTAAAGGTATTAAGTTTGTTTGTTTGTTTTTCAACCAATTTTCAATAGCTCCTTTAAAGCCTGGTCCCCCCTGGGCAGATCAGCCAGGGGTTAGAGAGAGAGTCCCAACCAAGTGCTTTTCTCAAGCCTTCTTCCCCCATGAAAGGTCTTCTTGTAAACTCTCGGTAATAGGTCTTCCTTCTCCTCTTGTCTTCTGTAATTCTTCTATTCCAGGATGTTCCATTTATAATAGCTGTCTTACTTTGAAAATTATAAAGTACAGACCTGGCAACCACAAAATTTGGCTGCAGTGAGAATAAGAATGACCACTGTCACGGAGGGGAGAAAGATGTCAGGGAGAAAGATTGGGATACTCACGCCACATTTGGGTTGTTAGATGAGGAGAAAGCACTTTAAAACTACCCTTGCATAAGCATCAGAAGGAGGCACCACTGAGTTAGTGCTTTTAATCCCCATGGGGATTGGTCAGAAAATTAAACCACTTAGCTTGCCCTGATCCTGCTTTAAAAAAGTGAATATTATTTAGGAACACAGGATAATATCTCATTCCTCCCTGCCCCAGAAGCCCAACCTCTTGATTATTTTATTCTGGAAGGGAAGAGAAGTAATTACTGGTTAGAACTCGTTGACCACAGACCACAGGCAAATATAAGAATGGCTAAAACTATTCTCAGGAAACGTAAGTGGTTACAAGGCTCCAGGCAAAACAAGGCGAGAATCAGTTTCCGATAAGGTAAGATGATAGCCTTTGGTATTTTGTTTTTGCCCAGTGAATTATCCCATCAGTGCAACTTGGTTTCAATTTCTTTAGGCCTTTAGAGCAGAGAGAGAGAGAGAGAGAGAGAGAGTTTAGATGGAAGATACATTTCTGGGTGGGAGAGTAAGTGACCTATTTTATGGAAGTGTTCTCTGATGAAATCCAGTTGGAATCAATCCAGAAGGCCCAAGGAAGTGGGATTTAAGGGAGGATGGAGGAGATGATACTTGCTGGACCAGAGGGATCTGAATGACTCAGGCAAATAGTCCCCATGGAAGCAGCTCAGTGAGGGGCACCGAGCACCAGTTGTGGAGTCAGAAGTCTCAAGGTTAGACTCAGCCTTTCTATTTTACACTTGGAGACTTCAAGCAAGTTTCCGGAGCCCTAGGAGCCGTAGCTGTCTCATCTGTGAAGTGCTGTGAGCAATAGCTGACTCTTAAGCTAATTTTGAGGAATACATGAGAAGGCAGACACAGTCTGTCATAGAGTAGGTGCTTCATAAATGGGAGCTGAAGGTGAGTCCAGGGATTAGCCCCTTGGATTCCTTAAGGTCTTTAAGGCCCAAATGTCCACGGACTTCTGAATGGCATGTGGAGCAGATCACCTCCTCCCAGGTCTACCATCCACCTGTCCCTTCCCAAGAGCTAAAAATCCAGGTCCATTCCACTTTAAGAAGAAAAAAGTGGTCAAAAAATCTGAATTTACAGGGAAGTTGAGTTAAAGGCTCTTTAAAAAAAAAAAAAAAAAGGCGTTCCAGGCTTCTGGAATGTGAAGGGAGTGTGATTTGCAAAAGGTGGGAATTTACTCTTCCAGCAAACATTTTGTGCATGAAATCTTTAGAATCCAAATGGGTCCCAGCAGTAAAAAGAGAATGTGGAGACACTAAAGGGTGTGGAGAAGAACATCTACAAATGCAAGGGGATGGAGAAGAATCTTCCCCGATAAGAGTGGAGGAATAAGCATTCTGACATGAGAAGGGAGAACAGCTGATGTAACTGACAAGTGAAGCTGGGCTGATTGTGAAGGAAACTATGTATTAGACACCAAGGGCTTTAAACTTTCCTCTGTAAAGAAACACTACATGTTACTGCAGAAGGTGTTAAGGCAGTAAAAAAAGAACACACAAATAAGATTTGTAGTTTGGGAGAATGATGTTGATGGTATGTGACTGTTGGTGCCAGGGCCAGAGAAGAATCAGGGAGGCTACTGCAGTGGTACAGAAAAAGGGTCTGGATTCAGGTAAGAGGTTGGAGAGACAGGGAAGATTAAAAAAAAACTATTGGAGGTAGAGTGGTCAAGACTCATCTTCAGTGGAATAGAAACTGAGGGACAGAGAGGAGTGGAAAGTGGAGGAGAGGAAAATAAGCCCCTCCCCCTCCTCCTCTTCTATTCCCTAGCTCAGGGATGGTCTCATAGTTTGCCTGACCCCACCCTTAATCTCCCACCCCTGGTTGATAGCTGGGTCCTCTGACTCTTCCTCCCCTTCAGCCATCACTTGTGGGCCATCAGTACCCTCTGTTGCCACTCCCTGGTTTCCTCGCCAATCTCTGCCTCAGATCCGGCCCCCTTCAACAGTCTTCCACAAAGCTTTCTAAAATGCCAGTCGCATTACGTCAGCCCCCTTCTTGACACCTGCAAATGGCATGCAAGGCCTCCTGCCACCTGGCCCTGCTGAGCTCGCTAGCATTCTCTCCCAGCTCTCCTTTCCCTGTACGCCAGCCAGATGAACACCTCCCAGGCTCTGCACCTGCCTAGCTGTACCCTTGCAGCCTTGCAGCACCCTAGCTTGCACGTCTGTCCAGAAGGCCTCCTCAAAGGTTCTGCCCATCTCTTCTATCAACCCAACTGTAATTCTCAGCTCGATTCCTTCATCCTTCTAGAAGACTTCTTGAACTTCTCCCCTCAAGTACAATGGACCTCTGCCTTCCTGAGGCCTTTTCTATACCTGTGCAGTCTTCTGTCTCAATGTTTATAACTGTTTATGGCTTTTTTGGTTTTTTTGAGTTGGAGTCTCATGCCGTCGCCCAGGCTAGAGCTCAGTGGCGTGCTCAGGGTCACCCCAGCATCAACCTGTTGGGCTCCGGCAATCCTTCCGCCTCAGCCTTCCAAGTATCCGGAAGTATAGGCGCATGCTACCACACCTGGCTACTTTTTGATTTATTGTACAGATGAGGTTTCGCCAAGGTGTTTGGGCTGGTCTCAAACCCACAGGCTCAGGCAATCCACTTGCATCGGCCTCACAACGTACTAGGATTACAGGCTGAGCCACCGAGCCCAGCCCATTTTTATTTGTGCTTTCCCAGCTAGACTCTGAGCTGGGACTCTGAGCATCCCCAGCATAGCACGTTAAGGCTGGCACAGACAATGCAAGTGTCAGGTGACATTATTGCCATTCACTCATTCAACAACTATTTTTAAAGCACCTGTCTTATGTCAGACATTATTTTTAAGTGCTTGGGCTATATTAGCAACCAAATCAGAATAAAATCTTTCTTCTCATGGGGCTCACATTCTCTCAAGAGACAGACAATTATCAATAAATAATTTACATAAATGTAGAGTTTTTTTTTTAACATGATCTATTTTAAACAAAACAGGGAAGGGGAAGGGATGGGAGGATGGGATGCACTTGTAAACTGGATAGTCAGGGAAGACTTCAATGACAAGGTGGCATTTTGGTGAAGACTCAAAGGAGGTAAAGGTTTTAGACAACAAGGGAAGGGTGTTCAGGAGGGAAGGGAGAGTACAGTGCAAAGACCCTATGTGAGAAGTATGCCTGGTCTGCTCCATGAAGTGAAGGAGACAGATGTGGCTGGAGTGAAGGGGGAAGAGAAGCAAAAGGTTAGAACAGAATGTTTGGGGAGGCTGGATGTTACAGGGCATTGTGGAAGGCCATAAGACGTATTCTCAGAAAATCCTTGAATGATTCTGAGTAGAAGCATGACATGGTGCAACTGACATTTCATTCAGCTCACTGTGATCACTGGGTTACCCAGAGATGTGAGGGGCAAGACTGTCAGAGGAGTTTGCAGTAACCCAGGCAAGAGATGATGGTTCCAATTAGGATAGAAGCAGCAGGTGAAAAGCAGCAGTCAGATTCTGGATATCATTGAAGGTAGAGATGACATTAGCTAATGGGTCAGATGAGGGCTAGAAGAGACAGAGAGAAGGCAAAGATGACTGAGGTTTGAGACTGGGGAACTGAAAGGATGAATTTGCTATCCTCTGAGGTGGGAAAGCTGTTGGTGGAGCAGATTTTGAGGGAAAGGTGAAACATTTGGTTTGGGGCGTGTTGCTTGAGATGTCAACTAGACACACTAGTAACACTGTCAAGTGAGCAGGTGAATGTATCATATAGGTATCCATCAATTAAATTCAGCAGACAGTTATTATTGCCCCATGACATGCAGGGTCAAGACCAGAAAGTTCCAACAAATTTCCATGTCTTGTTTGCAAGTCCAGTCTCTGCTCCTCCAGGTAGGAGGAGCTTCAGGGAGGGGCTCTTGTGATAGATGTGACTGAATCACAATAGCAGTCCTCATGGGCAGAGCAATCTACCCACCGTTTGCACACACTCTCTTTCATTTAATCCTTTCCCAAGCCACAGAGGGTTGGTACCATTATCATCCCAGTCCGGGATGAAGAAACCAGAATGCTCAGAGGTTGGGAGAGCTGGGCCCAAGATGCAAACCTGCTTAAGTGGCATATCAAGCTTCAGCCCTGGCGCTGTCTGCCTTGTGCCCACCACTTTCTTTTTATCATGGCACGGCCTCTCAGGCGTCAGGAAGAGCTGCCTCACGAGCCAGCACCAAGAACCCAGGTCAGCATCTCCCAGCTGGGCTGGACCTTGGAGGGCTTATAACATCTCTGAGTCACCAGGGACTGTTCTAACTCCAGAGACTTTGAGTAAACACAGCAGACATTAGCAGATCATGGTTTGTTACAAAATGTAGAGGCTTCCGTGTTTTTCTTTCCATCCCAAATAAACAGAAAGGATGCTAATGAGTCCCCCAAAAGGGGAAATGAAAATCCCGTTTCACTGGGATTTTCCACAGCTTTGTGGCGTGATCAGGGAATGGGCTGTGTGTTCTGACCTTTCCCCCAGAGCTTTGTTTACTTTCAGAGAGTTCAGGAAGGGCCTACCGACACTGCTTGGCTCAGGGGACTTGGCAGACGATAGAGAACACCACAGATATTTGGCAGGATGACTCCGAATGCTCCAAGAACCACAGCTTCAATAAAAACGTGAGTTTGCGCGGTCCAGTGATAAGGCATATGGGGCCCAAACCACCCTCCTGCAGGATACCTGAGTGACCGGCCAGCTTGAAGGGCCACACAAAGAGCCTTCTCCCATCATGTCTGCCCCAGAATTGGCTAGGGAAGGTCCACAGTCATGCAAAGTAGCAACTCCTTTGACAGCCAAGACACTTCTTTCACTATTAGGGTGAAACGTGAACTCAGTCTTCCAGAGTCAGTCCTAGCCTTCATCCTTGCTGTTCCCTGTGCCTGAAACACCTTTCCCAGCTCCCATGTGGCTAGTTCCTTCTCATCATTCAGGTTTCAGTCCAAATGCCTCCTTCTAAGAGAGATCTTCCATGGCTGCCTAATCCAGTGGCCTCCATGGTCACTTTCTTCCATATCCCCCGATATCTCTCTCTCTCTTTTTCTTTTTTTTTTTGTTGGAGTCTCACTCTGTCGCCCAGACTGGAGTGCAGTGGCCGCTCCCGGCCACCGCAGCCTCAACCTGCTGGGCTCCAGCAATCCTTCCGCCTCAGCCTTCCAAGTAGCTGGAACTACAGGTGCGCGCTACCACGCCCAGCTAATTTTTGATTTTATTGTAGAGATGAGGTCTCACCAAGTTGCCCAGGCGGGTTTCGAACCCACAGGCTCAGGCAAGCCACTCACCTCAGCTTCCCAAAGGCGCGGGATTACCGGCTGAGCCACCGAGCCCAGCCCGATATATCTCTTTAGATCACCTGTCAGTCCCTGAGATTCTCATGTGTTTGTTTATTTATTGTCTAGCTCTCTCACCAGAATGTAGATCCAATCGTAGCAGGGGATTTGTGGGCCTCAAGGGGGGTGTCATTGCACAGGATCTAGGATCAGATGGCTGACTTTGTACAGACTCTTCACTTCCTGGCTGTGAATCTGGTGCCACTTACTTCACCTCTCCGTGTCCCCTGCTTTCTCATTCATCCTATGGGATTGTCTTTGCTGCATGCCATGTTGTGAGGATTTAGAGAGTCAATACACAGATTTCATAAGAGAAAACTGACACATAGCACACTCTAAGTAGAAGTTACTGCCCAATCACCAGAAACCAGGGGGTAACTGGTCAACAATGAACAAACAAATCCATGCTTCAGGCTTCTCTCTACAAGCTTTCTTTCCAGGATTCTTCTCTACTGTATGTTCTCATTGGGTTCTTGCCCCCCTTCCTTCCAAGCGAAATGCAAGAGGCAGCATAAAACAGGAACAGGTGCCAGGGAATCAGATATCTAGGCCACATCTTAGTTTCTTTCATTTACACAGTTAGGCCACAAACATTAATGAAGTACCTACTATGGGCTAGATTTTTGCACAGGGCACTGGGAATTAATACAGACTAACAGACACTGCCTTGAGGAGCTCAGAGTTTCATGGGGCATAGACAGTGTGATCACTGCTGGAACCGAAGTGTCGGATGCCCAGGGCCACAGAAGAGGGGGAAACTGACTCAGAATGGCGGTGGTGGGGGCGGGG